TGCGCCATGTGCCTCTGTCGTCTGCTCACGCTGCTGACGGCTTCCGCTTTTAAACCGAGGCCTGTGTTTGGCTTCCGAATACTGCTGCATCCACCGCCACCCTGCGCCATGTGTCTCTGTCGTCTGCTCACGCTGCTGACGGCTTCCGCTTTTTAACCTAGGCCTGTGTATGGCCTTCAATTGAAGCTGCTTCTGCTCCGCCACTCTGCCATTGTACTCTTGATAGTCGTCTCTCCCACGCTGCTGCTGGGGGGACTTTTTAACATAGGCCTCTGTATGGCCTTCAATTTTAGCTGCTTACGCTCCGCCACTCTGCCATGGGCCCCTGTACCGCCTCCTCATGCTGCTGCCAGGCCCGTAATCTGCCATGGGCCCCCGTACCCGACTCCTCATGCTGCTGCCAGGCCCGTAATCTGTCATGGGCCCCTGTACCGCCTCCTCATGCTGCTGCCAGGTCCAGAGTGTGTCATGGGTCCCTGTACGGCCTCCCATTGCTGCTGCCTCCACCGCCACACTGTGGCTCCACACTCTGGTTTTGGCCCCGTGACTGCCCAAATGAGTGAAGTGTGCGGTGATTCTAAGATCGACGGCACTCATCTGCATGTCATACTGACTGACAGTATTATTTCTCTTCCCCAGCAGACTCCAAGGGCATTTAAATTAAAGGTACAGTGTTCTGCACTAATATAAAGGCTCTCTGAAGCCTAGAACCACCCTTTTTATAAGTTAAATTCGCAGCGAATATATTCGGCTCGAAGCGAATTTATTCCGCGAATTCGGCGAATCAGCCGAACCAAATTTTTGAATAATTCGCTCATCTCTACTTATAATCTTTGGGGATTTGAGCAAAGCAAATCTAAACCACGAACTGCCAAAATACATGTTGTGTGTTCCACCAGGGACCCTGCGGACTATTGCTCCACCATAATAAAGAATGCTTATCCTGTGCAGGCTCGGGTCTCTCCATTTGCTGCAGGGTTCATCTTCTTCCAACATACAGGCAACAATTAGTCTGCAAACCCTGTAGTGAAGACTATGAAGAAATGGACCAAGGAGGCACAGCTGGGGCTTTGGAGGAGCCTGCACGCCTTGACGTCACGCCGCTGGATCACGGAGGTCTAGCAGCCATTATATTCTACACATGGGTGGACGGACCATTCGAGCATTCAGGCACTGCCCGAGGGCCCGGGGTCAGTAGGGGGCCCCATGAGATGCTCCTGGTACCTTTCATTAGCTTTTTCATAGGCTTTTTTGGGTGTGGGCGAGGACACAGGGGCCCCATGATCCCCTATTGACCGGGGGCCCCATGAGTTGTCTGTCCACCCCTGATTCTACCAGCTGATCAATGCTCATAGCAGCTTTATGCTGCTTTACTATTTCACTTAGATTTGCTCTGGAAGTATACAGTTACATGTATGAATCTCTTTTCATCATTAATAAACTTTAATCAAATATACTAAAACTATGGGCATTTCCCTTTGTGGCTCTTTGGTGAGCTTTTAATCCCCCAGAGCTCCCCCTGGTGACCACCCCTGTATCCAGAAGAGGCTGCATATACGTCCTTAAAGGGGACTTCTGGATATAACACCACCTTGACGATATTCACTTATCCTGAGCTGGTTTTTCAACACTACCTTAAAGAGGGATTCTGGGCAGACCTCCATTGATTAAACATTGCGCATTATCTTTGCGCATCTGGTGAGTGCGCATTTTATCTATATGCTGCCGCTCACAGAACCTTTTTTCGATTGATATACTACCAGGAATAATTGTGTCACCTTGGGCCTTCATTACATTTATGCTTTTATTGCGGACTCTTAATATTTTAAGATTATTTATTGATCATTTTATTGACCCATATTAGTATACTATTCATTATATGATTTGTTAGCGCTGCACTATTTTTATATATGGGGCTACCAGGCTGCTCTGACTGCACAGACTGGAGTGTTTTTGAAGCTGCAGCCAAAGGTACTGATGAACTTACTGACAGTGTGACATCATACATCAGCTTTCGTGAAGTTAAGCGAGTGCCCACCAAGTCTTTTCAGACATTCAACAACAATAACAAGCCCTGGTTTACAGCAAATCTAAAACAGCTCAGGCAGGATAAGGGGGCAGCCTATAGAAGTGGGGACAACCAAACTAGAAATTTGCTGCCAAAAGATCAGAGCAGCAAACAGGAGCTGCACTGACAAACTGAAAACTTATTTTTGCCAATAACCCAGCAACAGTCTCATGAGGCCAGCAAAATATTACAAATGATGGGCAATGCTTCACGTCTTCAACCAATCCCCTTGGCAAACCAGGGGACACCCCCTTCTAGCTCCTCTGAAGTTGTGGAAAGGGGAAGAGGTGTTAATAAATCGTAGTTTTGCTACAGGGTCTATAACGTAGTTAAACTATCTAAAGTAATTTAACCAATTTAATGCAGGTTAGACCAAAGCAGAATAGGGACAGGGCTGTAAATTGGTAACTTCCTTATATTCATTCTATTACCCGGGATGAATCCTATCTGGACATTCCTCACCAGCAGAGAGATCACCCAGTTCAACTTAAAAGCCAGAACTTTGTTTTTTTTTTTTTTTTTAAAAAAGGTCCTGCTCGGCTGAAAACTTGTAGCAATTAAAGAGATTGGGCAGCTGGTGGGTCCTTATGGGGTTTCCTCTCACATGCATGGAGGTAATACCCCTGCCTATAGGGGCTCTTCAAACGCATTAAATACATAGAAGCTAAGTCACAGTTAAAATGTGCTATATTCAGATGGAACATTGTACAATAGGTATATTTAAAGAGTAGAAGGGTGTAAAAGCATCCAAAACCTCAGTTTGGTTTATAAGTGTAGTCTAAAATCAGGGAATAGAAGTAGGGCCAAAGTCAGACCTAGCTAAGTAGGCAGTAACTTACTTGCCCTATTTCCAAACGCAAAAGCTTTTTAAGATGTATAAAGTCGTTTTTTTTCTTGGTTTGCGGAGTAAAAGCAATCTTTACACACTTCTTGTAACTTCCCAATGCGTATAGGTATCCTTAGATGAAGAGGAGACATACTCCTGCTCGGCCAACAATATCTCTTGTTCTGTGGATGTTGCAAGTGCCTTCGCATTTTTCCTAAAGATTTCAGTTTTGACATAAAGAAGACATGTACAGTGGCCATAAAAGCCCTCTCAAACATTAGCAGAAGAGGACGTGGCCTCATTGTGTCTTCAATAATCAGAGATGCTTCGGTTGCATTCTCCATTTCCCACCGAATCACTGAGCCAATATGAGTTTTTGTGCCACAGCAGGAGAGTCTGAAATGGAAGGAGTTGTAATCTAATAGATAGGGGAGTAGGGTCTAAAAAGGCCTCTGGGAAGGTGAATAATACTTGATACCAGGAGGTAGAAGAGATGAGGTAATAAAGGCAATATCTATTTTGGACATGCTGTTATGGGAATTTGAGAACACGTAAAACTGCTGTCATTCGGAAGCTTCCACCTTCACCAACTCATACCCTATGTATCCAGTTTGTAAATCCACCCTGAGGCCTACTTGAACCACCCAAGCGTTCCACTACTGCATCAAGAACACAATTAAAGTTCCACATAAATAGACAAGGTCCATCTGCTAAATGCAAAGCCAAAAGGGACGTTCTATTCAGGAAGTGCAAATCTCTCGGGAGATCAGGAAGGAATTTTTTTTCCCAGCAGGAGCAAATTGGATCATGCTTTGCTGGGTTTTTTTGCCTTCCTCTGGATCAACTGTGAGTATAGGATTATAACTTTTTTTTTTTTCTATGGTTGAACTGGATGGACTTTTGTCTTTTTTTCAGTCAGACTAACTATGTAAGTATGTAAGAAGATGGATGGGGGCAAATATATATTTATCAGAGCCAACATTTTCCCACTAGCAATAACTGGATTTGTAAAAGAAAAAAAAAAAAAAAAAAAAAAAAAAAGAAGCTTGCCTTCCATAATCATGCAAAGCATGGCTGGTAGCATCTCCCTCATCTCGGGTATGCTTTTTCACTTAAGGGAAAGACACCTTGTTTTTGGACCTCAGTAGATAATACTGGATAAATGGTAAAATCAATTACTATTAAACTGGAGTTCCCCTTTAGGTGAGATGCGGTAAGAATAGTAACTTTATCTTTGTTGCAATTAGGGGTCTAGGGGAAGCCCCTGGAGGTGACTGTCAAGGAGGAGTACGACAGGCCCTTTTAATCATAAATGCAGCAGAGACATTTAGATCAAGCAATGTATCATGCAGCCATTTCACTAGAGGAACCCACAAAGTGTAGAATTTTGCTTCAAGACCCATTTTCAAGGATGTCCAATTTAAATTACATGGCAGCTAATTCCTTAGTGAATTCCCTCGAGGAGGCAATTAAAGGGGATTTAGCATTCTATTAAGTGTGCAAACATCTTGCTAAAAGGAAGAAGAAATTTGTTTGTATGGTCTCCATCTTTGTTTGCTAGTGAGGCTTTACAGTCTGGGATTGTGTCATTCTCTAAATAAGTGTAGGTTCCGACTGTACATTTGCCCTGCTCATCTCTGTCTGGAGCAAATGTTCAGTGGAGTCTGTAAGCTGTTCAGGCTACAGGAAAAAGTTCTGCCTGTGAATCTGTAGTGCGCTACAGTAGCAAGAAAGTCCCACGGGGTCAGTGTGCTGTGTAACCCCAGCTAGAACACTGCTGCCTGTGGGCTGCCGCCAACTTGCCCAGGAGGACAGCTTCACCTAGCCAATTTTCACTATGGCACTGCCTCTGGAGATCATCAATGGTTCGAGGGTGCTGTACAGCTGAAAAAAAAATCAGTGAGCTGACAACACAGGATGAGCTGAAGAATGTAGTGGAGTCAGCCGGGCTATAAATCTAGCATCTTGTGGTACGCCATCAGGCCATGCCCCCATTCTTTTTTAGTGTCACTTTCACTGGAAAAGGCTGCCACTCTCCCCCCCCCAAAATGAATTAGACAAACACTTGTCAATGTTTGGGTCTTCCTGTGTGCAGCTCAACATTACCTGGGTGAGATGTTCACTTCTAGGACCCAAGGTTTCAGATTCTCATCCAGCATAATGTCAAATCCAAAGAGCTCATGACAGCTGCGTGGGTTTTGGACATACATCTTCACCAGGCTGTTCACGTATGGATCAGAACTAAGAAAATACAAAAAGTTTATTACTTTTTACCGATCAGTAAATAGAACCCCATCGTGAAAAATTTCCTCCCAGACCTACGTTATATAAAATTACATTTTAAATACAGGTTTTTGTTTTGTTTTGTAAAGTGATACTTTTTTTTTTTAATTATTAATATTTAAGACCCAACTAAAATCAGCTTAGATGTTGTACATCAAAAGAAAAAAAAGCTAGTTGAAAGTCTGAGTTTATTTTTTTTTTTTTAAAAAGGAGTACAGTAAAATATTTTGTCCCTACTAGTATGGTGTAAAGGAGAACTGTGGCTGATTTTCAACAAAAAGAACAAAGATTTTCCACAGACTTTGTTTTATTGCATAAAGTTTATTTAGCCGATTTAAGACACAAGTTCAAGAAAGCTTGAAAGCATTTCAATCAGGAAGGGCAGTACTTCTAACACTATTCACACCCGTGTAATAGAATGAATGTGCTGCACAGCAGGGCAGCACATCATGGCTAAAAGTCCATTTTACTCTAGGTGTCTTGTTCATATACTGATGTGGAGGAAAGATGAGGAAAATCCCAACAGTGTCTGCAGAACATTGTGGGGAGTCTCCAAAATTTGTTCAGTTAAACCAGGCTCATCTTTTTACTCTAGAACAGTGGTCTCCAAACTACAGCCTGGGGGTTGGATGAGGCCCTTTGCTTGCTTTTATCTGGCCCTTGGGGGACTATTTCTACCACCGATACAAGGTACTATTCCACCCACTGACACCAACAATAGGGCTTAATTCCTATCACTGATACCAGCAATAGGGCAATATTCTTTCCACTAATACCAATGATGGGGCACTATTCCTCCCACCGACACCAATGATGGGGCACTATTCTTCCCACTAATACCAATGATGGAGCACTATTCCTTCCTCTGATACCAATGACGGGGCACTATTCCTCCCACTGACGCCAATGATGGGGCACTATTCCTCCCACTGATACCAATGATGGGGCACTATTCCTCCCACTGATACCAATGATGGGGCACTATTCCTCCCACTGATACTGATGGGGCACTATTTCCCCCACTGACAACAATGGGGGGGCACTATTTCTCCCACTGACAACAATGATGGGGCACTATTCCTCCCACTGATACCAATGATGGGGAACTATTCCTCCCACTGATACCAATGATGGGGCACTATTCCTCCCACTGATACCAATGATGGGGCACTATTCCTCCCACTGATACCAATGATGGGGCACTATTCCTCCCACTGATACCAATGATGGGGCACTATTCCTCCCACTGATACCAATGATGGGGCACTATTCCTCCCACTGATACCAATGATGGGGCACTATTCCTCCCACTGATACCAATGATGGGGCACTATTCCTCCCACTGATACCAATGATGGGGCACTATTCCTCCCACTGATACCAATGATGGGGCACTATTCCTCCCACTGATACCAATGATGGGGAACTATTCCTCCCACTGATACCAATGATGGGGCACTATTCCTCCCACTGATACCAATGATGGGGCACTATTCCCTCCCACTGATACCAATGATGGGGCACTATTCCTCCCACTGATACCAATGATGGGGCACTATTCCTCCCACTGATACCAATGATGGGGCACTATTCCTCCCACTGATACCAATGGGGCACTATTCCTCCCACTGATACCAATGATGGGGCACTATTCCTCCCACTGATACCAATGATGGGACACTATTCCTCCCACTGACACCAATGGGGGGGCACTGTTCCTTCTCCTATTACCAACAAAGTGGCAACATTCCTCCCACTGACAAGAGTGATGTTTATTCCCATTGATTCTTGGGCATTTTCTACTCTTGCTGGCCATAGTCTACCCCCCCTCAAAGTCTGAAGGATAGTAAACTGGCCCTTTGTTTAGAAAGTTTGGAGACCCCTGATACTTCTCAGGTCTAGGGGAACACCTGCTTAAAACGGTTTATTGCTTTCTTTCTTCTCTCTTTTTCTTCTTTTCAGATTTATTCTTTACCCTCTCTTTCAATTCTTTCGTTATTTTCGGTATCTCTACCTTTGTTAATTGGTTATATGATAATACCCACACCCATTTCATTGATAGAATCAAGATTGTAAGCTCGAAAGAGTAGGGCCCTCTTACCCCTCGTATGTTGTTTGTTATTGTTGTACTGTGCCATGTATTGTCCCCCCTATATTGTACAGCGCTGAGCAAACCCTTTTGGCGCTATATAAACTCGATGTAATAATAATAATAATAATAGAATAATTGCTTAAACTCGACTATACCCTATTGTGGTTTCCGACTTATTGTTTACTACATTATTGGTCAATGTATTATTATGTGACTATATGATCCATTACTTTGACTGTTTTGCTACAACCCATCAAGTGGGTGGGTTATGTTTTCTATAAAAATAATGAAATATAAAACAGTTTATTGGAAATTAGTTGAAAAAAAATGCCCCTTTCATTGGTGGTAATTGGAAAGAAAGCCCCCTTATAGCAGCGGTCAGCATTCCACCTTCCCAGGTAGATAAACGGATCAATGGTTTCATGCAACTGACTCTGCCAACTGGTGCTGGCTCTGGAAATATGCAAGCACAATCAAAATAGGAGGTTAATTAGCCACAGTTCAAGGAACCTCTAGTAACCTTTGGAGAACCCTAGGATTACAAGAAACCCTGAATGAGACCGGCAGGATTAGACACGTAGCAATAACACATAACCAGGTATCATCTGTCATCAGCTGAGAGTAGCCCAGACTAGGGTAGATTATGGCTCACTTATCTGGTATGGGTTACTGGATGTTCCTTTCTTAAATAAAGATCACACAAATGACAGTGTCAGTATTAAACACCATACCACGGGTAGTTCACAGTGACAGTCTTTAATTATAAACATGGAATAAAACAACCATTAATGACAGCATGCAATGAAACAGTCTGCTGCAAATGTTATTTTTTCTAAACACAGGAAACCCAGCAGACATATCTTTTCAATAAGCTTAGAGTTCTATGCACATTCATGTAACTTTTAAAATCTCAATGATGGGGGGCTGCTCTTACCCCTGAAATGCATTAACTGTTTAATTTCATGTGATCCTGTTAAGGAGTTAAAAAAAAAAAAAAAAAAAAAAAAAAAAAGCTACTACTTTGGTCTTCAAGATCAGCGGTGTGGCACTAACATTACATTTTAACATAGTAACTTGTCTTCTCCTTGAGACCACCCTCTCCCATTACATACTTCCTCACAGGGTTCCACTCAGGATGCCCTAAGCAAGCAATGATTTACTGTAGATACCTCTATATGATTTCCTCTATGATTTGTAAGGACAGCACCAAATCTTCTAGACATGAAATGAACAAGTTGGTGACATATTGCAACATCTATATTTTTCCATTCTTCAAGAACGACCTCTTTTAGAGCTGGGATGCTGGATGGAGAGTGATGCTCAACTTGCCTGTTCAGAATTCCCCATAGGTGTTCGACTGGGTTCAGATCAGGAGACATACTTGGCCACTGAATCACCTGTTCTTCAGAAATGCAACAGTGGCCTTAGTTGTGTTTTTTTTGTTGGAAAAGTGCACAACGAATAAGGGCACGGAGTGACGGTAGCATCAATGAAATGCAGCTCCCCGACACATGCAGCCCCAAAGAAGGACTCTGCAACCATGTTTCACTGTAGGCAACTTTCATTTTTCTTTGTACTTCTCAGCTTTGCGATGCCATACAGTTTTTAAGCCATCAGTTCCAAAAACATTGATCTTGGTCTCATCACTCCAGAGTACAGAGTCCCAGTAATCTTCATTTTCAGCATGGGCCCTAGCTAATTCTAGGTGGGCTTTTTTGTGCATGGGCATAAAGAGAAGCTTGCTTTGTGGACGACACTCATGCATGCCATTCCTGTGCAGTGTACACCATATTGTGTCACATGGGAAACAATCACCCCAGTTTTGCTTTCTACTTCTTTAGCTAACTGCAGTGAACTTGCATGGCGATTTTCTTCAACTCTTCTCATAAGGTGTTAACTTCTGTGGACGGCCTGGACGTCTCTGTGAGATGGATGCAGTTCCATCTTTGTTAAATTTTTGTACCACTCTTGCCACAGTATTCTGACTGATATGTAATGCTTTGATGATCTTCTTGTAACCTTCTCCTTTCTTGTGAAAATAAATTATTTTCTTTCTCAGGCCTTGAGACATTTCTCTTCCATGTGGTGCCATTGCTGACAGCATGAAATGGGAGGGGTTTTCTTTGTTACATAACACCCTTTTATAAACACCTTTCTGCTGGGCACCTGTTTAATGAATAATTAGACTCACCTGTAGTTGAATTATTGTTAATTAGGATCTTGTTGTCTAAAAAACTATGGATATTTTTTGTATAATACTGGCTAAACACACTGCTCAAAAAAATTAAAGGAACACTTTTTAATCAGAGTAAAGTATCAAGTCAATGAAACTCCTGGGATATTGATCTGGTCAGGTAAGTAGCAGAGGGGGTTGTTAATCAGTTTCAGCTGCTTTGGTGTTAATGAAATTAACAACAGGTGCACTAGATGGGCAACAATGAGACGACCCCCAAATTAGGAATGATTTTACAGGTGGAGGTCACTGACATTTTTTTCCCTACTCATCTTTTCTGACTGTTTTTCACTAGTTTTGCATTTGGTTAGGGCCAGTGTCACTACTGGTAGTATGAGGCAATACCTGGACCCTACAGAGGTTGCACAGGCAGCCCCAACTCCTCCAGGATGGCACATCAATACATGCCATTGCCAAAAGGTTTGCTGGGTCTCCCATCACAGTTTTAAGAGCATGAAGGAGATTCCAGGAGATAGGCAGCTACTTTAGGAGAGCTGGACAGGGCCATAGAAGGTCCTTAACCCTTCAGCAGGACAGGTATCTGCGTTTTTGTGCAAGGAGGAACAGGTGAGCACTGCCAGATCCATACAAAATGGCCAAATAAGAAACAGACTTCATGAGGGTGGCCTGGGATCCGACGTTCTCTAGCGGGCCCTGTGCTCACTGCCCGGCACCATAGAGCTCCATTGGCATTTGCCATTGAACACCAGAATCGCCAGGTCCACCACTGGCACCCTGTGCTTTTCACAGATGAGAGCAGGTTCACCCTGAGCACATGTGACAGACGTGAAAGGGTCTGGAGAAGCCGTGGAGAACGTTCTGCTGCCTGTAACATGGTTCAGCATGACCGTTTTGGTGGTGGGTCAGTGATGGTCTAGAAGGCATATCCAAGGAGGGACGCACAGACCTCTACAGGCTAGACAATGGCACCCCGACTTCCAATAAGTATTGGGATGAAATCCTTGGACCCATTGTCAGACCCTACACTGGTGCAGTGGGTCCTGGGTTCCTCCTGGTGCACGACAACACCCAGTCTCATGTGGGAAGAGTATGCAGGCAGTTCCTTGAGGATGAAGGAATTGATACTATTGAATGGCCCCTACGATTGCCTGACCTAAATCCAATAGAACACCTTTGGGATACCACGTTTTGGTCCATCCAACGCCACCAGGTTGCACCTCCGACTGTCCAGGAGCTCAGTGATGCCCTGGTCCAGATCTGGGAGGAAATCCCCCAGGACACCATCCGTCATCTCATTCGGATGCCCTGATGTTGTCAGACATGCATACAAGCACGTGGGGGCCATACGAACTACTGAGGACCATTTTGAGTTGCTTCAATGAAATTTCAGCAAAATGGACTCGCCTGCTGCATCATTTTTTCACTTTGATTTTCGGGGTGTCTTTGAATTCAGTCCTCTGTAGGTTGAGAATTTTCATTTCCATCAAACAATGGGGCATCCTAATGTTCCTAACACATTACACAGTCCATATCAGTATAGATATCCAGCACGATTTTTCCTCATTGAGATATGGTGTATTATGAATAAGAATTATATAGGATTTGATACATACATTTTTTTCTATATATACAAATGGTATATAGATTTTTTTTAACTCATTTGATAAGTGCCCTCACTCTGTTCGAAGATTTATTATTTCTCTTTCTTATAAACCTGGACTGTTGTTCTGATTAGACCACCCAAACAAGTTACTTATTGCATGTACAATATGCAATATTACCATATGAATTTCACCCTTGCATTCATGATAGTTGATCCCCAATACGTATATCATGTGACTTGTGCATTACACTGCAATCCTATAATATTACGGTGTCTGATTACCCTATGGCTTTTTACATAATTTTGAAGCAATGTTGTGGGGCACTGCGCCCCCTCCCCCTTTTATTTTTGAGGGGGGGGGGGGTCTGAGCTCCCCAAACACATTGTCTTCATCTTCTGACTTTCAAGCAAGCATTATAAAACTTCTACAGGATTGGCACTAACTTGTGATGTTCTTATCTCTTTGCTTACACAAAAAACTAGTAAGAGAATTTGGTCCAGGATCCCCACACTCACGCAATTATTGTCTTTATCACCATTTCTTTGATCTTTTCCCAGATCTTCTCACTGCAGAATCCTTTCTGGTTGAGGTAGGTCCACAATGCCTTGAGAGCCCTGCACAAAGAATAAGGTTTTTATATCTGCTTTGTCATTGATTGATTAGACTGAAAAGAAAAAAGCAAAAAACAAAAACAGAATAAAGCAACAAGAAACAGAACTGAACTGGAGTCAATCCAAAATTCACGCAACCATTTCTTTTCCAGCGCAAATACTCCTCCTGCAGGTTAGAAAATAAGCCCAAAAAAAAAAAAAAAAAAAAAAAAAAAACACATTTCTTTCTATGGCAAACACAAGTCTCTCAAGCAGAGTTATTTGGCACCCCAGGGTTTCTCTAGAGGTGGATAGGGGTTCCTTGAGCACCGAGTAATTTCTGCCTCTCAAAAAAGTAATCTCCCACTGACCAACTGATACAATGGTCTCATTTCCACTGACCACCTATGTAGACACTTTCCCACTGACCAGCAGTGTAAGTGGGCTTTATTGTACTGACCACCATGTGAGTGAGGGGATGCTAATGCTAATTTAATAGTTACTGGATAAATTTTGTTGTATGAAACAGCCTTAGGTGTCAAATACAGGAACCATGCCAAATTTCTTAAGTCTTTTTTATATTCTTACACGTACAGCTTACTGGTCATGGTAATGTACTCTGAGGTGTAGATATAATAAATATTAGCAGGGGTCCCTATGACATTAAAGTTATTTCAAGGGCTTCTAGGTTGTAAAAGGGTGGAAAAAAGTTGAAAACAGATGTTTTTTCCTTTGCTTTTTATTAGTAAAAAAAATATTTACTAACTACAATCTCTCGAAAACCGAGCTGATAATATTTCCCCCGTGCCCTCCTTCATGACTTTTCCATCAAGATCAATAATTCAACTATCAGGCCCCACCCTCACGCCAGGGTACTAGGTGTAATTCTGGACTCTGACCCGTCATTTTGGCCCCAAATTCAATCACTGTCAAAAGCTTGCAGACTTTGTTTCTGCCTGTGGACTGTTATCTTAAACCCTGAGCTGTTGTTGTTCACCAGCTGTAAAGCTGTGCATTGCTGAAAGGTCTATGATCATTTCCTGTAGTACATCAGCAGTCTCTGGTCATCTCCTGTAGTACATCCACAGTCTCTGGTCATCTCCTGTAGTATATTCCCCACCCCCGGAGTCCAATCAATATTAAAAATTGTCCGGAGCGTGTCCATTCACACAGAGGGCTGCGGCTCGGGCCCCCCCCCTTTCTCTCCTGATTGCCTCACTGGCTGTGACAGCAGTGGGAGTGATTCTCCCTGTGCTGTCAGTCTCAGTAAATGAGGGAGAGTTCCCGGAAAGCCGAAGCTCTTGTGCACAATGCAGGATCACAATGGGGCTCAGGTAAGTGTTGGGGGGGGAATATTCTGCTGCACACAGAAGGAATTTTACCTTCATGCATAGAATGCATGAGGGTAACAGGCAGACATTGAGCCTTCACAACCACACTAAGACATTGCCATTTCACCCAACTCATAGCCCAACTTCCCTCCCCTCCAGGCATGTATACTTAACCCCTAGATACTGCGTGCACACAATTACGCGGCCTCTCGGTGTCTGGGCCTTGACGCCGAATATTTGTAAATACATATGTGTCGAGAGCACACGCCCTGCGAATGCCCAGCAGATATGTCCGTGACTCACGGAATGGTCCTGATCTCCCCTTGCGATCGGGACCTTTTCTGATCATGTGACCGCCGTAACACGGCGGTCACATGACTCTAAAATCCCGCCCCGCCTCCTGGCTTCTGAAACCTGTTAAAGGACCTGGAGGCGCCGGAGCAAAGGGGTTAAGCTGTCCATACATTTGTAGACTTGCAAATCACTGCTAGAAATTTGATCACTCAACAATAAAATTTGCATCCCACTCCTTTGAATTTTCTTGTCACTACAATTGAAAAAGAATGTTGATTTGACCGCACTAAATCAGAAAATCATGTAAACATTCTTCAGCTGAAATTCTACTAGGGTATGATCAGATTTTGAAGCTTAGACATTGGATAGCTCTAAGGAAATGTACGTTTGCTCTTAGGTTGGACTGGAAGGCTCCTGATTTCAACTTTCATTTGTTCTCCCCCAAAATTCACAGGACTTAAATAGGACTCTGGGATCTAGCTCAACGTACCATTTATGTCCTTGGCAAGCGGTCTCGTCTGTATTGGCCTTGTAGTCTACATTTTTCTTATTGACACTGTAGTTTGTTAAGTGCATGAACTTGTTGCTCAGACTTTTCATGGAAGATGAATACCTGGGAAGACAGATGGTATGGGGATTACAAATTAAACAGAAAACTGTGGAGATATGCATCTTGGGTAGGCCATGCAGTGACCTATAGGTTTTAGAATAAAGAACATCTGACAGAAGAATGGCACAGAAGACCCCGACTGGTTGAATACTGCCTCTGATTCAGTCCATTTATGCACATTATGGAATAAGACCAGTCCCATGAAGTCATACAATTTAAATGTAACATTCACTATAAAAGTAAATACACCTTTATACAGAAATAGTTGGCTGGAAAAAGGAAAAAAAAATTCTGTACGTAGATATGACACCCCCTCAATATCTGCCACTTGATCAGAAATGACAGTATGTAAAAGAAAAGAGACCTACTTGCAGCTGGCAAACCGCACCAAGCCATCGGTAAACAGATACACTCTCAGGGGGTCATAGGACGTCACGTAAACATAAATCCTCAAGTCAAACTTGCTGCCACTGATGAGGTAGGGTTTGTGCAGGTACCTGAAAGCATACAATGAAAGCTGAATATGCACTAATGATTGTCAACTTACAAGGTATAGGTGACCTCAAATGCGGCCCTTACACAGAGGAGCATATACACTCATTGCTGCAGATTGGTCAGCTGCACATCCATGATGAGAATCTCTTGTTCCACCACATCCCAAATGTGCTGGATGGAGATCTGGTGACTGTGGAGGCCGATGGAGTACAGTGACCTCACTGTCATGTTCAAGAAACCAGTTTGAGATGATCTGATCTTTGTGACATGGTGCATTAATTATCCTGCTGGAAGGAGCCATCAGAAGATGGGAACACTGGAGTCATAAAGTGATGGACATGATCAGAAACCATACTCAGATAGGCTGTGGCGTTTACATGATGCTCATTTGGTACTAAGGGGCCCAAAGTGTGCTAAGAAAATCTCCCCCACACCATTACACCACCACCAGCCTGAACTGTTGATACAAGGCAGGATGGATCCACCACACCATGACACCACCACCAGCCTGAACTGTTGATGAACTGTTGATACAAGGCAGGATGGATCAAGGCAGGATGGATCCACCACACCATGACACCACCACCAGCCTGAACTGTTGATACAAGGCAGGATGGATCCACCACACCATGACACCCGCCACCACCAGCCTGAACTGTTGATACAAGGCAAGATGGATCCACCATACCATTACACCACCACCAGCCTGAACTGTTGATACAAGGCAGGATGGATCCATGCTTTCATGTTGTTTATTCCAAATACTGACCCCACAATATGAAAGTCGCAGCTGAAATTGAAACTCATCAGAACAACGTTTTTCCAATCTTCTGTTGTCCAATTTTGGTGAGCCTTTGTGAATTTTAGCCATCGTTTCCTGTTCTTAGCTGACAGGAATGGCACTCAGTATGAGCTTCTGCTGCTGTAGCCCATCTGCTTTAATGTGTTGTGTGTTCAAAGATGGTATTCTGCATACCTTGGTTGTAATGAGTAGTTATCTGAGTTACTGTTGCCTTTCTATCATCACAAACCTGTTTGCCCATTCTCCTCTGACATCAGCAAGGCACTTTCATCAACACAACTGGATATCTTCTCTTTTTCGGACCATTCTCTGTAAACCTTAGAGATAGTTTTGTATGAAAATCCCAGTAGATCAGCAGTTTCTGAAATACTCACAGCAACCCTTCTGGCACCAACAACCATGCCACATTCACAGTCACTTAAATCCATTTTCTTCCTTATTTTTCTTGCTCGGTTTGATCTTCAGCAAGTCGTCTTCACAACGTCTACATGCCTAAATGCACGGAGTTTCTGCCATGTAATTGGTTGATTAGTAAACTGTGTTACCAATTAATTGAACAGGTGTACTTAGAGTGGCCGGTGAGTGTATATAGCCATTACATGTAATGTTACACAAGATTTACAAACTAAAGGTTTACTAATGGAAGTGGTCAGAGTAGGAGACAGTCAGAGACTAGGCACATGCTGGATAAAACTGCTAGAGAGAATTATTAAAGGCCCTTTATCAAATCTCAAGCTACCAAATGCTGGGGCCTGAGGCACTTCAAACACCAAAGGGCCACAGGTAGTTCTTGTGCTGCAGGTTGGACACCAAGGATATAAATTTAATATTGACATTCTTATCAGTACAGAATGTAGATCAGTGTAATGAGCTGCTGTTGCTCTATATCACTTCCAAGATCTGCTAGACAAGTATTTTTTATTTATTACAGGTACTTATATAGCGCCATCAATTTACACCGCTTTACATATATATTGTACATTCACATCAGTCCCTAACCCTCAAGGGGCGTACAATCTAAGGTCCCTAACTCACATTCATACATACACATACTAGGGACAATTTAGAGAGGAACCAATTAACCTACCAGCATGTCTTTGGAGTGTGGGAGGAAACTGGAGTACCCGGAGGAAACCCAGGCAGGCACAGGGAGAACATGCAAACTCCAGGCAGGTGGTGCCGTGATTGGGATTCAAACCAACAACCCTAGTACTGCCAGGCGGAAGTGCTAACCATTTAGCCACTGTGCAAAGATGAATTTAATTGGTGATCCTTTGCAGTATGGTTGTGTACGCACTGCAACTGGTTAATTGCGCAATTATGTATAGGAGAATAAAAATTCTTACCCAAACCCACCTGTAGGTAGACCCCCCCCCCCCCCAACTCTAGGATTCTGAGATCAGAGCATGGTCCATAGCCCTGCTTTGAATGTGAGGACGCTGAAGGACAGTACACTGCTGGATCGTTGGATCAGGTAAGCAAGGTAAGTTTCTACGCTTCCCTAGACAAAATGAGCTGTTAATACTTGCAGTGCAGCCACAACCCACTGCAAGGGATCATTTTTTTCCTGCCTAGAGTTGGGCTTTAAAGGTCTATTCGATAAGCCAGTGCAACAGTATTTTTGGTGTGTCAGGTTGTGTGCTGCCTACCTTTGAACCAGCAGTGGCCTCTTCTTTGGAAGCTGGCTCCACTTGTGTATAACCTGGATCCCCATTCCTCTGGCTGACGCTGGCTGAGAACAAAAGATATATCAAATTGTAATACAGTTGTTTCTATTCTGGTCAAAAATGCTGTTCTGACTAGTTTTTGCAATATATCACACAGACTGACATTATTGAGTTAAAGCAGCAATTTTTTATTTAAATGTTTCCATATAGGTTAAAAATGCCGGTCTTGTGAATTATCACAAAGAGGGTGACACCAATACTGAGATAGTGCAGCAATTTTGTGTTTAAATATCTTCATTTTGGTTAAAGATGTTGGTCTGACTATGTATAGTCCTAAACGGAGTTTCATCAATTTTCATTGTTATTATTTTTATTATTATTGTTAGCTATTTTTCTGTAGGATGATTGATTTTGGTTGTTGTAGCCATTGCTCTGTCATTCACACAATAGATTGAGTGGTTTAATAGGTTTTAATTATCCACACCTGTTTTCCTAATGTGTTTGAAGGAAGAGGATTTCTATTATAGTGAGCGTTCTGTGTTTGAACAAACATGCTCTGAGCGAGGCTTCAGCCGAAACACGCTAGCGTGTTACTGCTGAATCCTGCAATGTAGCCAATAAAGAACTCTTGCCAGGGAAGTAGCTGGCTTCATTGCATTAGAGGGGTGTCATTGCTGGCCTCATTCTGAAAAGGACATCTGCTTTGTAGAGATACAAAGCAGCACATTCCTGCTGACATGATAGAGACCTGTGTTGTTTACACACAGATCTCTCCCCTGTCAACTTCTCTACCGATCACCAAATCCCGGCCATGAATCGCTGGCCGGGATCCGGTGATTGACATCTCTAGGAAGCAATGACAGGAAATGCAAAATCACATATTTATAAGGGGAGAGAAGGAGAGAAAGAGGGGGGGGGGGGAGAGAAAAGAGAGGGGGGGGGGGGGAGGGAGAGAGGGGGGGGGGAGGAGAGAGAGGGGGGGGGAGAAGGAGGAGGGGAGGAGAGAGAGGGGAAGGAGAGAGAGGGGAAGGAGAGAGAGGGGAAGGAGAGAGGGGGAAGGAGGGAGGGGAAGAGGGGAGAGGGGAGGGGATCGGGGAGGGAGAGAGGGAGGGGGGGGGGAGGAGAGAGAGGGAGGGAGGAGGGGGGGGGGGGGGGAGGGGAGGAGAGAGGGAGGGAGGGGGGAGGGAGGAGAGAGGGAGGGAGGGGGGGGGAGGAGAGAGGGGGGGGAGGAGAGGGGGGGGGAGAGAGGGAGGGAGGGGGGTGAGAGGAGAGAGGAGGGGGGGGGAGGGAGGAGAGAGGGAGGGAGGAGAGAGGGGGGGGGGGAGAGGGAAGGGGGAGGGAGGAGAGAGGGGGGGGAAGGAGGAGAGAGGGAGGGGGGGGAGGGAGGAGAGAGGGAGGGAGGGGGAGGGAGGAGAGAGGGAGGGGGGAGGGAGGAGAGAGGGAGGGGGGAGGGAGGAGAGAGGGAGGGGGGAGGGAGGAGAGAGGGAGGGGGGGGAGGGAGGAGAGGGGAGGGGGGGAGGGAAGGGGGGGGAGGCGGAGAGAGGGAGGAGGGGGGAGGGAGGAGAGAGAGGGAGGGGGGGGCTTAGGGAGGAGAGAGGGAGGGGGGGAGGGAGGAGAGAGGGGAGGGGGGGAGGGAGGAGAGAGGGAGGGGGGGAGGGGAGGAGGGAGAGGGAGGGGGGGAGGGAGGAGGAGAGGGAGGGGGGAGGGAGGAGAGAGGGAGGGGGGGAGGGAGGATGAGAGGGAGGGGGGGAGGGGGGGGGGAGGAGAGGGAGGGGGGCAGGGGGGGGAGGGAGGGGAGAGGGGGGGGGGGAGGGGGGGGAGGAGAGAGGGGGGGAGGGGGGATGAGAGGGGAGGGGGAGGGGGGGAGGGAGGGAGAGGGAGGGGGTGGAGAGGGGGGTTGCCGGAGGGAGGGGGGGGGGGGAGGGAGGAGAGAGGGAGGGGGGGAGGGGAGGGAGGAGAGAGGGAGGGGGGGGTAGGGAGGAGGGAGAGGGGGAGGGGGGAGGGAGGAGAGGGGAGAGGGGGAGGGAGGAGGTTTCTTGAGGGGGGGAGGAGAGAGGGAGGGAGGAGGAGAGGGAGGGAGGAGGAGGGGAGGGGGGACAGAGAGTCAGTCAGTGTCTATTCACCTAATATGAGCTCCTTCCTGGATCGGGGGCTTCTACTGCTGCTGCCTCCTTCCATGCTCTCCTCTTGTCACTGACAGTCCTGGCTCCTTATCTGCTCCCATCTCAGACTCCCTGCTCTGAGCCCACATTCCTGTCTAAATAATGTGTCCTGGTTTCAGGAGGACACATTATTCAGACAGACGTAAAGATACTGTGTTAAATGTGTGGAGCCTTTCAAGGGGCCCCTACCGACCCAAAGCCCTCGGGCAGTGCCTGAGTGACGGAATGGTCAGTCTGCCTCTGGCAGTAACCCAGTGTGAACTATGCCACAGTGTAGGAGCTTCCTGTAATAAAGACCAGTCACTGAGGCTCTCTCCTTGTGCAGAGTGACTGTTCTTCTCGCTGCACCTTCCCATAATTTTCTGCAAGCAGTCTGAAATTATGCCATCATCACTAGGTTCACAAAGTCATTTGATGTACACAAAATGGATTTAGATCCTTTGTGGCTATTGAGGAATATATTTAACGTTTTTGTGCCCAAAGTTTAGCTTTATTGAATGTGGATAAAATGTTATTCACAGGACATTAGCAATTATAGTAATTTATACTTGGAGCTGTATGCGCGAGAGTCTTCTCTCATGCCCAGATAAAGAATTGAATGTTCTAGAAGATGTATTTATGAACCTACTAGATTTGTATGGACATGTTAAATGACCTGAGCTATTTTTAATGTGCCTAATGTCAGGTCCTGCTTGACTCAGAAAGGCTTCATGAATATCAGAAGAGAAGATGGAATACATACATCACAGCAACAGAGGAGCTGGGTAAAAAATGAAGCAGTTTTGTAAAGTTTACATAAAGTTAATTCTGCCCTTTCTGTTCTTATAATTTATGACCCCATACCGGCTTAACGATCCATTTCTGCCGTGTTCCCCCCTCCTCCCAAGCTTTTTTCAACAGCTTGATGTCCTGAGGAAGAACAAATGACTGCGGGAAGAAGTTGAACTCTTTGCGTCCAAACCGAGCCTGCATCTTTGACAAATTCCTCCAAAGACGATCCTTCCTGCCAATCTGAAAGGACCCTGGGAAATGATTCAGCTGGAATGGAAAAAAAAAAAAAAAAGATTTTAAACAGTGCGGTCTAAGCTTAGGATTAGCCTTTCTTAACCTTTAGAAATGGAGGAACCCCTGAAATAACTTTCAGATCTTAAAAAGAATTTCTGTTAATATTACACGAGACATTAGGGTGAACTGTAAATTGTAGCGCAAAGAATAAATAAAGAATACAGAACCAGGCATATTTGGAGTATTTGACACCCAGGGCTGGTCACAACATTGCATTCTGCTTTTTTTTGTAGATTTTACACAGCATCCCAACTTTTTTGGAATTGAGGTTGTGTACAATAATAACCAGAAGAGGAACACAGTGAAAATTGTGCTGTTCCCTAGTGGTCAGTGGAAACTGACCCCTTAGACTGTTCACTGAAGGGCACTATTACACAGCTAGTGAGTGCGAAGAATGCCCCTTACCATTACTGAGCAGTGGGAAGAATGCCCCTTACCATTACTGAGCAGTGGGAAGAATGCCCCTTACCATTACTGAGCAGTGGGAAGAATGCCCCTTACCATTACTGAGCAGTGGGAAGAATGCCCCTTACCATTACTGAGCAGTGGGAAGAATGCCCCTTACCATTACTGAGCAGTGGGAAGAATGCCCCTTACCATTACTGAGCAGTGGGAAGAATGTCCCTTACTATTGCTAGTCAATGGAAAAAAGATCACTGGTGTGAGCGCTCACTTATTTGAGAGGCATAAATTGCTCCCTGCTCAAGGAACCCTAGAACATCTGGAAGAATCCTGGTTGAAAAAGACCACCTTAGATAGTGAAACTAGATTGGTGCTTTCCAGGTACCTAACATACGCCCCGCACGCAATTTATCTTTCAATTCATTCAACTATCCAATCAGCCAATGAAGCGGCAGCACTGCAACACATGCATTCATGCAGCTATAGGTCAGGAGATTCATGTTAAAACACCAAAAGAAAAAAAATGTGATCTCAGTGACTGACTGGGCCATGGCTGTGTGTACCAGATTGGCTGTTTGGTGGTTCTAAAGGCAAATGTTTTTTTTTTTTACCTTAACTTACCTCCCTAGCGGTCTGATTATGTCAATATTTCTGTGCTGAAAGCGGTACATTTTTTTTGCATGGAAATATGTCATTGTTTTTATTGTAGGCCTGTAATTCTTAGGAATAACTCACTGAAATCTGTCCGAACAAAAGTCTAGTAAACATCCCGCGTATGATAAAATTCGAAACACGAAATTATAATAAATAATCATTAAAAATAAAATAATAATAAATTTAATTCAATAATATAATCAAACCAAAAACACTGAAATGTGAAATATAGCGCCAAGTTCGCACATCACTGAGCTCAGTCACAGATTTGTTTTCAGTGTCTGATGATGAATTTCCCCCACAAATGATTATCACTCAATTCTGCAAGTGGTTCTAATTTACTATCGCTGTTCTCTAGCCGGTCTAAAACTGATTTTGACCTAAAGGGACGCTTTTTGGACGCCATGGACATTTCTCAGTTTCCAGGCAGAAAGAACAGTAAAAATGCAGGCAGGGCGCCGGACAAAACTCGGGACAAAATGTATGTGAAATGGTTTGATACAGTAATTATTATTATTATACAGTATTTATAAAGCGCCAATAGTTTCGCTCAGCGCTGTACATTACAAAGGGGGACAGAACATGTGACAGAACAATACCAATACAATGCAAAACACGAGGGGATCGAGGGCCCTGCTCTTTCGAGCTTACAATCTAGGAGGTAATGTTTTACTATATTGAATGAATGGCAGTTTTAAAATTTTTTTCATTTCCCACCGGTTCCGTCCCCCGTATGTCCCGACGTCGCAGACGGATGGAGGCTGGAGGAGATGGCCGGGGATGCTGCAGGGGGGACATCGCAGGAGGGCAGGACAAGGTAAGTGCTGGAGGGAATCCCTGAGCAATGCTGCAGGGTAATTCCGAGTGTAGCTCGGGGTTACCGCTTTTGGTACTGAAAGTTAACCCAGAGCTACACTCAGGAATACCGCCAGGGAGGTTAATGGATTCCTTGCATGAAGGCAAAAAATATCCCAATATTAGTGTGTGGCCCATCAAGTCTAAAACCGTAAAAAATGTTAAGATAATGACCTTCTGACATGCTTAGAAAGCTGCAATTAAAGAAAAACACACTAAAATGATCATTAAAGCTTAGGTATTTGCCAGGCCAAGGAACGGGAACATCTTGGAATGCATCTCTAGTAACGTACTCCAATGATGTGTGCTGGAAGAAGGCAGAGGACAAGGCACAGGTTTTTAGGGGGGGTTTTAGACAGCACAGAACAAGGCATTGGTAAGTCAGAAATGATCAGCTGCAGGAGACTGCAGGCAATATTGGCGACTAGTTGTTTACTTTTTGCTTTTTTTTTTTGGTACAATTTTCTGAGTTGAGTTCTCCTTTAAAAGTCCAACCTTAAAATGTCTAGTGATCCAAGTTGTGGACGCTGAGCATTGGGCATAGCCAAGGCTAAGTTGAAGGTAAATTGTTAGTCACACAAGAACTGATTTGAAGATGAAAACAGGTACTTACAGGAACAAAATTTGCTTTAAACCGTATTGTATTTTACGCATTCAGAAGAAAGGATCATTTTAAGCTTTGAAGAAAATGAAAGTGAATGCCTGCTTGTTCACACTAGCGGTTGAGGGGCAGTAAAACACGGCACTTGAAATCCCAAACTGCTACCTTATGTAGCTACAAGAGGCAGCGCCCAGGGGTATATACATGCTGCGGCCATGACGCTTTGCTTTACAGCAGAATGATACCCCGAGTGGGAATGCATGTTTCTGCTATTCTCAGGAACTGTACTTTTTATCTCAAGGCTTTTTGTATCCTGATGATATTATGAAGGCAGTTTTAACTGGGTAAAGATCCATAGGAGGACTGTCTCCCACTTATCTTTTGGAAAGATATAAAAGCGTCTGTTTTTTGGAATATTGGTAAGGGTATGCATTCCTTACTGCACTTAGAAGTGTCACAGTGCCGGTTTGAATAGAGCACTGAAGAGTGATTCACATTCACAGTGGTATTTCATTGCTTTGGATTCACAGTTTTTTTTTCACTTTATTCACGTTTTCACTGATTGTTAATGTGATTGGGTATCCACTTGAATAAAGTCATTATAATTTATTTGATTTAAAAAGATAATGCACTATGTAAATATTTTATTTTTTTGAGGAATATTATCGGAGGAAGTTTTTGAAGGATTATTGAACACGATATCATTTGAGAAGAACTTGATTTAAAAACATTTTTTTGGACTTATAGGGTTTGGACTGCACATATTTTTATTGAGGACTTATTGTATAGCATCTTCTGTTTATTAATTTTTGTACATCTTTTGGGGTAAAGGTGTTTGATGGTGCTGTGGGGAATTTTGTTTATATAGTTTATTTAGAGAGTGGTTTTGAATTTAATTAGAATGATACCCCGTCACTTTCGGGGGGCATAGCGCCTGTCGAACATGACCCATTCAAGTAAATGGGGTTGCTCTGCAAGCACTCCGCAACCACATGCAATTTAAGGTGGTAAAGAGGGTTTAAGGGGTTAAAGCAGGTGGTGGGGAGGTGGTACAACGCCTCCTCGCTGCCTGTCAAATGTTCCCTAAATGCAGATCTCATAGCGGATCGCTCTTCAGAGAGCAAAGCTAGAATAAACGAGCCCTAAAAGTTACAACCTTCACAGTTTTCCCTTTATTGTATCTTTTTTGGTTTTAATGGCATTTTAAGAACATTACCTTCTGGTATTCTCGGATGCTCTTGAAGGCTGTAGACTTCATGTGATGGCCCCAACAACCCAACCAGTCATGGTTCTCTACAGAAAAATGATACCAAATAAAGGCTGTTAATATTGAGACAAACACTAGTCAGAAATTAGGCTTTGTAATCCCAGAAAAGTAAAATAATCCCAGAAAAGTAAAATATTTCAACAGGTGAGGATAGGATTTCGTAAAAAGAGAGAAGTAGGATACTCACTTTTGGTAACACGGAAGTGGGACCGTGCAACAGTTTGTTTCACTATGTTTGGTGTCACAGTACTCATTTTCCACTTCAGCAGTTTTCTCTGTGCCCAAGGCAGCAGTTCCACTGGAGGGACAAAGTAATAAGCAGGTTTATAATAATGACTTCTTCAAAGATATGCAAACACAAACAATGAAATTCTGTTATTTGATACCCTTTGGTATGTTGAACATATATATTAGGAGTTTTGTTATATCCGTTGAGAAGTGCAAAAACATACATGCTGATCCTGCCAGAAATGTAGTGAGCTGACAACTTCCTGTGATTTCTGCCTGTGCTGCACTCCTATCAGTTACACTGTTCTGATGACTACAGATCCCCTTCATGTTATGGAGAAGAGAGTAGTAGTCCTGTCTCTGTTTTCTTGATACAGTACTGCCTTGTCAAGCTAGGGGACAAAGTGTATTACTAGCAGGAACACTGGACGAAGAACAAATGAATGCCATCCATAGACAGGTCGAAAATCGGCTGATTTTTCGACCGGAACAAACAAAAAAAAAAAAAAAAAAAAAAAAAAAATAAGCCTAAAAAAAAAAAAAAAAGCCGATTTTTTGCACCACCGTTAGTTGTGGGTTAGTGGGTTACTTGGTCGGCCGTTTTTTTCGGGCTTTTTGCACTTTCTTTTTATCGTGCATGTGGGAAAATTCACGGCCGATTTTGACGATCGCCCAATTTTGCCGGCAATGATGGGCAAATCAGCTGATCGCTTTACCGATAAAAAATCTGCGCATGAGCTGTGACAAGAAGAATTCCAGTCCGCCGTTATATTTTATATGAATCCATTTGTATCCGAATAAAAACATCTGTATCCCAAATGGATACATTGTTGCAAACTGCAAGACTTTTTTCATGTAAAATATAATAGCGGAGCTCTCTGCAAGGGACAGAAGTAATTACGGTGTTAAATGCCGGCTGTAGACGGGACGAAAATCGGCCAATTTTTTTACCGTTGGTGGTAACGTTGACCGATCGAACGACCGATTTTTCATTATTTTTTTTTTTTAAAAACGGCTGGTTTTTGCCCGTCTATGGCCTGCTTAAGAAAAAGCGCCTTAAAAAAAGGAGAAGTTTGGCCAAAGGTATTTTGGCCATACGTCTCCTATGTATCACAGAAGTGGACATTGTTCTGCACTCCTGTAACCTGTTTTCAGTCAACAGCAAGCTAAAGCAAGCGGGCTTAGTAAATGAGGTGAAGCTTCACTTTATAAGAATACCCAATCATATACAAAGAAAAAACAAAACACCATTTTTTTACTTGCACATGATTGGATGATGGAAGTCGGCAGAGCTTCCCCTCATTAAATAAACACCGGAAACAACTGCACTTGAAAACTTCACAGTCTATCTGCCTTTAGTAAATCAAGCCACCATGTCTCTTCTTCTGCAATGAAGTTTCCTGCTTGTATTCATTTGTATGTACACTAAACTGCGCATGCAGCCACATTATGATTTTATCAGCCTTGAGCAACTAATCTTACCTGTCCCTTTGTGTGCGCAAAGCCTTCTACTAAAATAAACATTTACTACAAGACAGTTGTTTAAAAGTCAAGGCTTTTTGTCCCCCAGATACTGTATTGCATCTCTAATTGAAACCGCAGATGGGGCTAAATAAAGGGAGGGGTCACCGAGTCACTGCTTTGACTGATTTAGCAGAGTGTGTAAAATGCTAGCATCAGCTACTGAGCGTGAAAAAAAAAAAAAGAAAAAAAAGAACCTCATGCTATACCTGTTTACTGGTAACCGTTCATATTTGCACAGTTACAAAAACAGTGTAAACGTGTGTGTGTGTGTGTGTGTGTGGTGTGGTGTGGTGTGGTGTGGTGTGGTGTGGTGTGGTGTGGTGTGTGTGTGTGTGTGTGTTTAGGTTTTGTGCTGCCCTAGACAACACAAAAATCGGACATCCCCCCTACCTGGCAGAGAGAGAGCTTGACACTGACCAACACCAGACACCCCCCCCCCCCCACGGAGAGAGCCTGACAGAGATCAACGACGCCCCTTCCCCACCCACCTGAGAAAGTCTCCACTAACCCCCCCCTTCCTATGGTGGCAGAGAGAAAGACACTCACCTTCACAGCTCTGGACATATCCGGGAACGACAGTTGGGCTCTGCATACACCATCAAGCAGCCTCTCGCAGATATCACCTGGTCCCCATGCTGCATAAGTCCCTCCTTCCAGGGGGCAGTGCTGCCTCCTAAAAAATGCCGCCCTAGGCAGATGCCTTGTTGTAAATATGCGTGTGTGTGTGTTTTTTGTTTGTCCTGGCCCAAATGCCAAGAGATACAAAACGGTATAAAACAACTTGCGTTTACCAACAAAAACTGCGACACAGATATTGTATCACAAGACATTACCAGAATACTTATAGTTATCTGGACTAACAGAACAGACCGGATCAACCTTTCTCAAGCTTTTCGCCTAAAATAAACCCCTGAAACCTAGGTAACTCTTGATTAAAATGTACAGAATGATCAGGAAGTTGTAGATAAAATAACAAAACAATTAGAGAATATAGTATAAATTAAAGAATAAACTTGACATAGACAGGTAACTGTTGGGAGGGCATCCCCATGTGAAAGCAATATGTACAAATCTTACCCTTCTCATCCTGAGTGCCAAAGTAAAGGGTCGGAGGTATGTTGGGGAACAGGCTAGGGGTCAGAGCAGGCTTCAGTATAATGTCCCCATTTACAGGTGTCTCATCCATATTGTCAGCACATTGTCTAAAAATAAAGAGCTGCATTTAAAACATTACAAGAGACCAGCCCAATATAATGTGAACTGTACCACTCATACATAAAAAAAAAAAAAAAAAAAAAAAAACGCAATTACTTATGTCAGGGGTGCTCAATCTGTGTCCCATGGAGCCACAAGTGGCCCTCGAAGTTCTCCGATGTGGCCCTCGACCTCAAACCAGGGAAGCACACTTCTATTGTATCGTGTTGGTTTGTTGCACTTTCTGAAAGTGCACCAAGACTCCTGAAACTCCCGGTGTGCTTTCAGAAAGAGTACCAGACCCGCAAGATATAATCAAAGTCAATGGCAAAGTGCAGCTAACCCGCGGGAAAGCGTGTGGCTAACCAGCAGAGCATCAGTGTGAAAACAGCCTTATATGGGCCCCAGAACAGTAAGCGTGAGGGGTCGTAATGGGGACCCTGCCCGATGCTCCAGGGGGCTTCCCTGTCACTTTCTGTTTTACACTTGGGCAGCATATACAGGAACCAATCCTCTTCAATTTCATCCTGTAACCCTAGAAAGGCATCTTCTCCTACAAACATTCAGTAGCTGCAGGGGGAAAACGTTCATTATGCTAGTCAAAATAAAAAATTAATAAAGTAGAAAAAAAAAAAAAAGTATTTTATTTCATTGTGGTCCGCAACTGGTTACCAAATCACTTAAGTTGCCCTCGCTCTTCCGAAAGTTGAGCACCCCTGACTACATGCATGTGTGCGTACACACACACACCTACCTGACAGGGTCACCAGGTAAATTCTTTTGTGACTACAGAAAAATACCTGTTAATCCTGCCACAAATCTAGTCTTATATCTTCCTGTGCACTGAACTAAAATCTCAAACAATGTTTTTCCATCCTACAGACTACAGGACCACTCCCTACAGTGTGAATGAATAATAGAGACGGGGGTGTAGACTGAGCAGCCTAGGGTGACAACACTGCTCCTCTAGATACAGTACAGTGAGTAAGCGTTGTCACCATAGGACAGGAAGTATGTTACTGGATCACCAAGTAAACACCTACGGATAAAACTAGCCTGGAAAAAAAAATAATTTTGGAGTAGACCTAAACTCTTCTAATAAAATATCCGGTGTTGTGGTGCACGTCCCAAAGACTAAGATTGCTAAACTTTTTTATGTAAACACCTATGAAAATATGCTTTTTTATTGCCATAAAACCGACCTCCACGTGCCCATACAACTACGCTTTCCTGCCGACCTCCACGTGCCCATACAACTACACTTCCCTGCCGACCTCCACGTGCCCATACAACTACACTTCCCTGCCCACCTCCACGTGCCCATACAACTGCACTTCCCTGCCCACCTCCACGTGCCCATACAACTACACTTCACTTCCCTGCCGACCTCCACGTGCCCATACAACTACACTTCCCTGCCGACCTCCACGTGCCCATACAACTACACTTCCCTGCCGACCTCCACGTGCCCATACAACTGCACTTCCCTGCCCACCTCCACGTGCCCATACAACTACACTTCCCTGCCGACCTCCACGTGCCCATACAACTACACTTCCCTGCCGACCTCCACGTGCCCATACAACTGCACTTCCCTGCCCACCTCCACGTGCCCATACAACTACTCTTCCCTGCCGACCTCCACGTGCCCATACAACTACTCTTCCCTGCCGACCTCCACGTGCCCATACAACTACTCTTCCCTGCCGACCTCCACGTGCCCATACAACTGCACTTCCCTGCCCACCTCCACGTGCCCATACAACTACACTTCCCTGCCGACCTCTACGTGCCCATACAACTACTCTTCCCTGCCGACCTCCACGTGCCCATACAACTACACTTCCCTGCCGACCTCCCCGTGCCCATACAACTACACTTCCCTGCCGACCTCCACGTGCCCATACAACTGCACTTCCCTGCCCACCTCCACGTGCCCATACAACTACACTTCCCTGCCGACCTCCACGTGCCCATACAACTACTCTTCCCTGCCGACCTCCACGTGCCCATACAACTACTCTTCCCTGCCGACCTCCACATGCCCATACAACTACTCTTCCCTGCCGACCTCCACGTGCCCATACAAACTACTCTTCCCTGCCGACCTCCACGTGCCCATACAACTCCCTTCCCTGCCGACCTCCACGTGCCCATACAACTACACTTCCCTGCCGACCTCCCCGTGCCCATACAACTACACCTTTTCACTGCCTACACAGCCGATGTAGGGGGCCTGGAGATTTGAAAGCGGCAGTCTTCTTCCAGGATAGATCAGAGCTATTCCCATTGGTCAAGCACTGGCATGCGACCCCCCTTTGTCTAATCAGAATCGCTCTGATCCATCCTCCTGTCCCTAAAGAAAGAAGAGGAAGAAGACTGAGGCATTCAAATCCTCGGACCCCTACACCAGCTGTGTGGGCAATGAAAGCTAAACATCCATAAGTACAGCAGGGGCTGGGAAGGAGGGGTGGGGAGGATGTAAGGGGTTAGTTCACTTTTTCATGAAAAGGTAAACCTACACTTTTAATGCGTAGACTTCATTCACAGGCAACACGAGAAGTGCTGATCTCAGTAAGCAGCAGCAGAGACAAAAAGCACTATTGTGTCCTTGAGTGGTGGGCTTAAAGTGGTTGTAAACCTCAGACACGAAATAGAAACAAAGCATATCCCTCTATAGTGTGTACTTGTCTCAATTAGGACACCAAGTCACCAGTCACACCGCTGCGATTTAAAACCGTGAGATTTGTGTGCAATTTCTGAAGACTTTATTGCTACTTGTGCAGCCTTTCAATGATTTCTTGCAATTTGCAGTGTGATTTCTATTATATTCTATGTATGTGAAATCGCAGCAAAACTGCAGAAAAAGTAATGCAAGAACTACTTTTGTTTGCTGCAGCAAATCGCAAATGTTAAGACACCGACATTCACATTCATTAGATCAGCATGAATCATTTCTCACAAGTTTTCCTGACACCAAGAGAAGACAAGGAAGGGCACAGCCTGTGATAGACAGCCTCAGCTCTGCTTCTGTGTGAAGGGGGGGGGGGTGTCCATTCCCACCAATCAGCTGTCAGAGCTCTCCTCACTGAGTGTAACTTCAGTTCCCCGCCCCCTGCTTTACAGAGTTGAGATATCCTGTGTAAATTCTGCACTTTGAATGGATGTAGGGGACAGACGGCTATTGATAAACAGGTACAACTTATGCAGGAGAATTTATTTAATCTCTGTGTATCACCTGAGGCCATTCACTTCACTGGGTATATGTGAGGGTTTACAACCACTTTAAACTCTTCCTTTCCACCCATTCTACATAGACGGTGGACGGGAAGCAGCGCAGAGGTGGGCTAATGTTCCAGTATGTCAGCCCGCATCGATGGCTCCTGCACGGCTCACAGAGTGCACACTCCAGAGCCCAGTGATCAGTGTGTTGTCAGGACAAAGCATATCATATTATCACTATGTTCGGGCGATCACGTGGTGTTTTACCATGTGACTGCTGTGACCAATCACAGCAGTCACATAGTAAACAATAAAACTGAAAGTAAAAATCGCTTCTCTCTGTTCTCAGTGTGAGAGCACAGAGAAGCAATCCTGCAGGCTGCTTGTACACTCACACACTGCAGTGCCAGCCACCCCAGTGCCCCAGATCACTGCCCCCAATATCAATAATAAATAATGCAGGGAGGCCCTAACACCTGTCCCAGTGCACACAAAACACCCCCATACACCATACTAATGTCCTGATCACCGCCATACCCCCCATACCAGCGCCCTGATCACCGCCATACCCCATACCAGCGTCCTGATCACCGCCATACCCCATACCAGCGTCCTGATCACCGCCATACACCATACCAGCGTCCTGATCACCGCCATACCCCATACCAGCGTCCTGATCACCGCCATACCCCATACCAGCGCCCTGATCACCGCCATACCCCATACCAGCGCCCTGATCACCGCCATACCCCATACCGCGCCCTGATCACCGCCATACCCCATACCAGCGTCCTGATCACCGCCATACCCCATACCAGCGTCCTGATCACCGCCATACCCCATACCAGCGTCCTGATCACCGCCATACCCCATACCAGCGCCCTGATCACCGCCATACCCCATACCAGCGTCCTGATCACCGCCATACCCCATACCAGCGTCCTGATCACCGCCATACCCCATACCTGCGCCCTGATCACCGCCATACCCCATACCTGCGCCCTGATCACCGCCATACCTCATACCAGCATCCTGATCACCACCATACCTCATACCAGCGCCCTGATCACCACCATACCCCATACCAGCGCCCTGATCACCGCCATACCCCATACCAGCGCCCTGATCACCGCCATACCCCATACCAGCGTCCTGATCACCACCATACCTCATACCAGCATCCTGATCACCGCCATACCCCATACCAGCATCCTGATCACCACCATACCTCATACCAGCATCCTGATCACCGCCATACCTCATACCAGCGCCCTGATCACCACCATACCAGCGCCCTGATCACCACCATACCCCATACCAGCGCCCTGATCACCACCATACCAACGTCCTGATCACCGCCATACCTCATACCACCTCCATACACCATACCAGCATCCTTTTCACCTCCATAGCCCATACCAGCATCCTGATCACCTCCATAGCCCATACCAGCGTCTTGGCTACTGCCATAGCAGCATCCTGATGACCGCTATACCTCATGCGAATGTCCAGATCACTGCCATATGCCATACCAGTGTCTGGCACTTTAGGGTCTCAACTGATCAATTTTCAAATATATATCCTATAGTATGTAGACTCTAAAAAACTTTCACACGGACTAAAACTTTCACACAGACTAAATAACAAACAGTTTTGGGCCATTGTTACCCCAAAAACATAGCAGAATACATTTTGGCCTAAATTTATGAAGCAAAGTTATCTATTTGCAAAATTTTATAACAAAAACTAAGCAAAAATTTTTTTTTTTTTTCAAAACCCAGTGGTGATCAAATACCACCTAAAGAAAGCTCTATCTGTCTCAAAAAAAGTTAAAAAGTTCATATGGGTACAGTGCTGCATGACTGAGTACTTGTCACTCAAAGTGTGATAGCCCTAAAAGCTGAAAATTGGCCTGGACTGGAAGGGGGTGAAAGAATCCGGACTTGAAGTGGTTAAGCAGAAAGAAGCTTTGATCCAGCATGGCCTGCTGTGCACTATAAGGCGGTACATATCAGTGAGGTGTGAGCAGGGGTGTATTTACCACAAGGCACTTGCCTAGGGCGGCATTTTTCAGGGGGGCAGTACCTCCCCCCCAGAAGAAGGGATGGAATAAGGAACACGCGCACCATGGGAACCAGGTGGGATCTGAGAGAGGCTGCGCGGGCTGCTTGATGGTGTATGTAAAGCTTGACTCGCTCCCCCGGCCGGGGATGTCAGGAGCTGTGAAGATGAGTGACTCTCTATCACCGGGGGGGGGGGGGGGGGATTGGGGGTAGCGGAAGACTCTCCAGGGTGGGGGGCAGGTGTGTTGCTGGACAATGTCAGGCTTTTTCTGGAGTAGGGGAAAGGGGGGGGGGTTGTGTTGATTGGTGTCTGTGGGGGCAGACAATTTTTGTGTTGCCTAGGGCAGCACAAAACCTAAATACACCACTGGGTGTGAGTCATCATGTTACCCTGTAGTCCCATGCAGGAAGTTATACCCTCCAGCGACAAACAAGCAATGTGCAGAGTTTTGATTATAAAAGCAGCAGTGAGATTTTTAAACCTCTTACCGCCCAGCCACTGCATTAAAACGGTGGCAGGGCGGCACAGCTGCGCAAAAGCACGTTTTAAAACGTGCTTCGCGCTCCCGAGGTTTTTGCGGGCAGGGGGCGCGCGCGCTCCCGCCGTCCCGCGGGTGTCACGATTTGATCCCGGAGGGATCAATCATCCGGTTTCAGCCAGTGATGTCTGGCAGAAATCGGATGATCGGTCCCTGACTATCCTGTCCTGTGTTGACATTTACACAGGACAGGATATGATGTCATTCTTCTCTGCCTGGGCACATTCGTCCCAGAGAGAGAAGAAGACAGAAGAACTGTGAATACAAAAGCACTACACAGACAGTTAGAAAACTCTAGGACACGTTTAACCCCCTGATCGCCCCCCCCCCCCAGTTAACCCCTTCACTGCCCTGTCACCAGTGTCATTGATCAGTGAACAGATTTTTACTGATCACTGTATCAGTGTCGCTGGCGACTTCCAATAGTGTTAGCGTCCCTCCCAGATAGCGCCAGTTTGCCCGCTAATACACCAGTAATCCCGTTTAACCCCTTGATCGCCCCCCTAACTTTGAGATTACGATATATTTTTTATAGCTGAAAGTAGAAAAATATTGTTTTTTTTGTTAATAGCGCAAAAAAATAAAAAGCACACAGGTGATAAAATACCACCAAATGAAAGCTCTATTTGTGTGAAAAAAAGGACGTAAATTTCGTTTGGGTACAGCATTGCATGACCGCGCAATTATCATTTGAATTAGTGCAGCGCCAAACAGCAAAAAAAGGCGTGGTCATTAAGGGGGGTAAATCCTCAGGCGCTCAAGTGGTTAAAGCAATTGCTGTGAAGACAGAATAGTAAGAACTATTTTTCACAAAAATGTTTTTTAAAAAACCTTTACCAGAAACCTGTCTATACAGATAAAGGGTGTCTTTGGATAATAACAAAATGTGTGTCTCTGACTAAAGTTGACTAACACCCTTGCTCTAGGTGTCGGCCATTTATGTACCTCATGAAGTCTGACAGGAATACTCCCAGGACGTTGCTAAGTGAAGCCTAATCATTACTGCTCACCTCCTCCATCACAGGTGAGCAGTAATGACTAGGCCTCACCTAGCAACACCCTGGGAGTATTCAAGTCAGGCTCCAGGAGGTATGTAAATGGAATACACCTATAGCAAGGACATTATTCAACTTTAGTCAGAGCTGCACAGTTTGTTTTTATCTCCAGACACCTATTATCTACATAGGCAGCTTTTTGGCAAAGGTGAATTATCCAGTTTTAGATACACTTTAACCACTTCCTTGCCGGACACTTTTACCCCCTTCCTGTCCAGGGCAGTTTTCAGCGCTATCACATTTTGAATAACAATTGCTCGGTCATGCAACACTGTACCCATATGAATTTTTTACCATTTTTTTGAGACAGATAAAGCTTTATTTTGGTGGTAATTTATTCACCGCTGGGATTTTTATTTTGCTATGTAAATGAAAATGTCCAAAAATTTTGAAAAAAAAAAGTGTTTTTCTTATAAACTTTTGCAAATAAATAATCTTTCATCATAAAATCTTGGCCAAAATGTATTCCGTTATCTTTTTAGTAAAAAAACAAATAAGCCAAGTTAGTTTATAACCAAAAATTATAATTTTTTAACTTTTTTTTACATTTTTATATTATTTATGTTTGTTTGTTTGTTTTTTTACATACTGTCACCCTAGCAGTACAGTGACACTACTACTTGTGGGGGGTTAGGATTTTTTTTTTTTATTTTTACAGTGATTGCTTTTACACCCATATAGGGGTGTAAAAGCAATCATATCCTCAATCCCCTCATGTTTTGCATTGTATTGGTATTGTTCTGTCACATGCTCTGTCCCCCTTTGTAATGTACAGCGCTGAGCGAACTATTGGCGCTTTATAAATACTGTATAATAATAATAATTTCTCTCTCTGTCTGCATTCTTGCAGCCACTGAGAACTACTGAGTGAGCTGTGATTGGTCACAGCTTGTCACATGGTACAAGGCTGTTGTGAATAGCCTTGTACCATGTGACCTCTGTGATCATTCACAGATTTCACACGTAGTAAGCAATGATGTCACAAGTGACGTCTTGCTTACTACTTTGCATGTGATCACTGATTGGCCAATCAGTGATCACATGATCGGGACCTCGTACAGAGGTCCCGTCTGACGATCGGTGTTTCACTGTGTCCGGAGGACACAGCTGGAACCGGATCGCGGTGCTGCGCGCTCCCCCCAGATAAACAGGCGGGTGCCGTTTATGAACAGCAACCCGCCCCTGGAGTGCCACCGTCCTGCCGTTTATAAACAGCAGGCGGACGGGCAAGTGGTTAATGCAGCCACCATATCGGGAAGCTACAATATATTACATTTGTGTTCTTGAGTTTGGCTGCACTGCACAGCTCTGCTAGCTGAAGCAATAGAAAAAGTTTATAGTTCCTTCCACAAATTCTTTGGGAACCTAGGTTTTGGTGAAGATTACTCATGGTAAATAACCGAAAAAAGGTTGAAGAAGCACCACTACAATATGTAAGACATCATACCTGGCTGAGCCTGACATCAATGAAGAGGACGACACTTGGATAACAGAAGGGTCATCAGGATCTGAATTAGAACACAGACAATGTGAGGAAACTGGGCCTTCTGAGAGAAGATGCTGGGACAGTCATTTCTTACATATACCAACCTTCCTCATCCTCTTCTTCATCCTGGCTGTCATCTAGACCTTCAGGAAGCTCCTCTTCTGCACAGTCAGGTTCACAGTTTGGCACCAGAAGCCTACAATGAAAAACAAGCTCAGAATAAATAATGGAAAACAAAATGTGAGTAGTGCCTGAAGCCAAATGAAAGCTCAACTCCATCCTGCGGGTTCACTGTTGTCGGGATTCTCCTATTGTCCTTTGTATGCAAACATTGCCGTATCATCCGACTGCATTGTAATGTGTTATTTCTGTAATGCTGCATAAACTCTTGGATTTCAGGTCTAATTGATAGCACTGGAAGGTTTTCTTTAATATGTTGTTCGGTTTGTTGATGATTGAGTCTTTGATACCATTCTGTATATGCTTTGTCATTTTGAGATTTTATGACTTCAACATTAATAAACGTAATTTCTGATAAAAAAGAAAAAAAAAAAAAAAAAAAAAAAAAGAGCTCAACTCCAGGCAAGCTAAGCATATGGATTGGATATAGATTTGGAAACCTTTTTAACTGTCAAAGGATTTGTATATCTGTCCATCCAGTTCTGAGAATTACACAGCTATGCCACACAGCACAAGCCCTGTCTGGTGTAGCAGAACACATTTTGTATTTAATAAAATTTAGTTTAACCACTTGCCATCCGCCTGCTGTTTATAAACGGCAGGGCGGTGGCAGTGCAGGGGCGGGTTGCCGTTCAGAAACGGCACCCGCCTTTTCTAGCTGTGCGCGCGCAGCACCGCAATCCGGTGCCCGCTGTGTCCTCTGGACACAGTGAAACACCGATCGTCGGACGGGACCTCTGTACGAGGTCCTGATCATGTGATCACTGATTGGCCAATCAGTGATCACATGCAAAGTAGTAAGCAAGATGTCACTTGTGACATCATTGCTTACTACGTGTGAAAATCTGTAAATGATCACAGAGGTCACATGGTACAGGGCTATTCACACACAGCCTTGTACCATGTGACAAGCTGTGACCAATCACAGCTCACTCAGTACTTCTCAATGACTGCAAGAATGCAGACAGAGAGAAAGAGAAATGATTGCTTTTACATCCTATATGGGTGTAAAAGCAATCAGTGTAAAAAAAAAAAAAAAAAAAAAATCATCACCCCCCACAAGTAGTACAGTGTCACAATGGTGACACTATACTGCTAGGGTGACAGTATGTAAAAAAAAAAAAAAAAAAAAAATATAAAAAAAATTTAATAAAAATGTAAAAAAAAATTTTTAAAAATGATAATTTTTGGTTATAAACTACTAATTTGGTTTTTTTTTTTTTACTAAAAAAAATAACGGAATAAATTTTTGCCAAGATTTATGATGAAATATTATTTATTTGCAAAATTTTTATAAAAAAGAACACTTTTTTTCAAAATTTTTGGACGTTTTCATTTACATAGCAAAAAAAATAAAAATCCCAGCGGTGAATAAATACCACCAAAATAAAGCTTTATCTGTCTCAAAAAAATGGTAAAAAATTCATATGGGTACAGTGTTGCATGACCGTGCAATTGTCATTCAAAGTGTGATAGCGCTGAAAGCTGAAAATTGCCCTGGACAGGAAGGGGGTAAAAGTGTCCGGAGAGGAAGTGGTTAAAGAGGTAATGCGCAAGGTTGGTGCGCCTTTTGTTTTGTTTCGCTTTGCAGTACTGGTCGGGCTTCCCCAACCTTGTTTGGAGCTGCACAACCCTATATGGATTGGTGGTCAAATTTTTCAAGTTCTTGTTCCATCCATCCACCACCTATCTGGGTCTCTGAGCGCAGGAGAATTCGTCTCTGGTAGCAGAAGACCCCTTTTGAAGGGGGGGGGGGATTGGAGGGCACAGGAGCATTAGTGCTCAACTATCACCACGAACAAGGATACTGGGTTATCTGGTGCCTTGAAGGGTGCAGCTCTGGATTATATTATGGATCACTTCTTTTCCTGGGGTTCAGGATCTAGCAGATTATTATCAGTTCCTTCTTGATTGTGTAAACTAGTACGAGGAAAACAGCACGCAAAACCATTCTGTGACTGAATATACCTACCTGTGCACAACCAAATACAGTCAGGTCCATAAATATTGGGACATCGACACAAATTCTAACATTTTTGGCTCTATACACCACCACAATGGATGTGAAATGAAACGAACAAGATGTGCTTTAACTGCAGACTGTCAGCTTTAATTTGAGGGTATTTACATCCAAATCAGGTGAACGGTGTAGGAATTACAACAGTTTGCATATGTGCCTCCCACTTGGTAAGGGACCAAAAGTAATGGGACAATTGGCTTCTCAGCTGTTCTATGGCCAGGTGTATGTTATTCCCTCATTATCCCAATTCCAATGAGCAGATAAAAGGTCCAGAGTTCATTTCAAGTGTGCTATATGCATTTGGAATCTGTTGCTGTCAACTCTCAAGATGAGATCCAAAGAGCTGTCACTATCAGTGAAGCAAGCCATCATTAGGCTGAAAAAACAAAACAAACCCATCAGAGAGATAGCAAAAACATTAGGTGTGGCCAAAACAACTGTTTGGAACATTTCTAAAAAGAAGGAACGCACCGGTGAGCTCAGCAACACCAAAAAAAAGACCTGGAAGACCACAGAAAACAACTGTGGTGGATGAGCGAAGAATTCTTTCCCTGGTGATGAAAACACCCTTCAGAACAGTTGGCCAGATCAAGAACACTCTCCAGGAGGTAGGTGTATGTGTGTCAAAGTCAACCATCAAGAGAAGACTTCACCAGAGTGAATACAGAGGGTTCACCACAAGATGGAAACCATTGGTGAGCCTCAAAAACAGGAAGGCCAGATTAGAGTTTTCCAAACGACATCTAAAAAAAGCCTTCACAGTTCTGGAACAACATCCTATGGACAGATGAGACCGAGATCAACTTGTACCAGAGTGATGGGAAGAGAAGAGTATGGAGAAGGAAAGGAACTGCTCATGATCCTAAGCATACCACCTCATCAGTGAAGCATGGTGGTGGTAGTGTCATGGCGTGGGCATGTATGGCTGCCAATGGAACTGCTTCTCTTGTATTTATTGATGATGTGACTGCTGACAAAAGCAGCCGGATGAATTCTGAAGTGTTTTGGACAATATTATCTGCTCATATTCAGCCAAATGCTTCAGAACTCATTGGACGCTTCACAGTGCAGATGGACAATGACCCAAAGCAGACTGCAAAAGCAACCAAAGAGTTTAAGGGAAAGAAGTGGAATGTTATGCAATGGCCAAGTCAATCACCTGACCTGAATCCGATTGAGCATTTCACTTGCTGAAGACAAAACTGAAGGGAAAATGCCCCAAGAACAAGTAGGAACTGAAGACAGTTGCAGTAGAGGCCTGGCAGAGCATCACCAGGGATGAAACCCAGCGTCTGGTGATGTCTATGCGTTCCAGACTTCAGGCTGTAATTGACTGCAAAGGATTTGCAACCAATTATTAAAAAAGTGAAATTTTGATTTATGATTATTATTCTGTCCCATTACTTTTGGTCCCTTAACAAGTGAGGCACATATGCAAACTGTTGTAATTCCTACACCGTTCACCTGATTTGGATGTAAATACCCTGAAATTAAAGCTGACAGTCTGCAGTTAAAGCACATCTTGTTCGTTTCATTTCAAATCCATTGTGGTGGTGTATAGAGCCAAAAATGTTAGAATTGTGTCGATGTCCCAATATTTATGGACCTGACTGTACATATCCACTGTGTTTACATCAAATAATAATACATTTTCGGATTACTCAAATATAAAAGTACAATAAAAAAAAGAACTCATACAATTGTTCATAGAAGTTATGTGAAAACTAAAGTCCACGCCCAGGTTACACAAATAGCCCAAGGGGCTGATAATGCATGATATAAGACTTGTGCATTGGAATCATGCATTTGATGCGAACAACTTTCCAGACCAGAAAATATGTTAAGAAATTGGCACTTTTCGTGGTCTGGAAAGTTGAGAGCACCAAGTGCTTGATTTCAATGCAGAAGACTTACATCATGCGTTAGCATGTGGACTTTCTGTTTCACAGAATTTCTATGATCAATTGTATTTATCGTGTAATCAGTGAATGTATTATTATAAAGACAGTAGAAATATATTTTGGCTGTGCATAAGTATATGCAGTCACAGGTTTTCACATGGTTTTACGCATTGTTTTGGTTTTATACAGTCAGGTCCCTAAATATTGGGACATCGACACAATTCTAACATTTTTGGCTCTATACACCACCACAATGGATTTGAAATTAAACGAACAAGATGTGCTTTTAACTGCAGACTGTCAGCTTTAATGGAACAGCTGAGAAGCCAATTGTCCCATTACTTTTGGTCCCTTAACAAGTGGGGAGGCACATATGCAAACTGTTGTAATTCCTACACCGTTCACCTGATTTGGATGTAAATACCCCTCAAATTAAAGCTGACAGTCTGCAGTTAAAGCACATCTTGTTCGTTTCATTTCAAATCCATTGTGGTGGTGTATAGAGCCAAAAATGGTAGAATTGTGTCGATGTCCCAATATTTATGGACCTGACTGTATATGACCGTGCTATAATTTTTTATTTCTATATTTTACCCTTGTGTGCAATAATAATTTATTTTTTATGTTACTACAGCATAGGTGCCTTAAGTCAGCTGGGTGTATTTTGTGGCTTGTTTCAGTGACAGGAGACTTGACTTTACTCTGCTGCAGTCAAATAACACTTAGAGGTCTTGTCTCTTCCTCAGCCTGTGACTGGACAGTACAAGGATAAGCAGCACCGATGTGCCCATCTCATTCACTGTGTTCTCTCTACTATCATCAAGCTCTTTAGCACATGAGCAGTACAGTACAACCAATCAGCTTTTTGTGCTGCTTCTCTCTCTCTCCCAGTCTAAGCTCTACAGCAGTATGGTCATGTAAGACCATACTGTTTGCTTAACCCCTTCCAGTCCGGACACTTTTACCCCCTTCCTGTCCAGGCCAATTTTCACACTTTGAATGACAATTGTGTGGTCATGCAACACTGTACCCATATGAATTTTTAGCATTTTTTTTTTAGACAGATAAAGCTTTATTTTGGTGGTATTTATTCACCACTGGGATTTTTATTTTTTTCTATATAAATGAAAAAGTCCCAAAATTTTGAAAAAAGTGTTTTTCTTATAAAAATTTTGCAAATAAATAATATTTCATCATAAATCTTGGCCACAATGTATTCAGTTATCTTTTTAGTAAAAAAAAAAAAAAAAAAAAAAAAACCAAATTAGTTTATAACCCAAAATTATAATTTTTAAAATTAGCTTTTTTTTTTTTTAACATACTGTCACCCTAGCAGTACAGTGTCACCATGGTGACACTGTACTACTTGTGGGGGGTGAAGAAGATTTTTTTTCTACACTGATTGCTTTTACACCCATAAAGGCTGTAAAAGCAATAATTTCTCCTTCTCTCTGGCTGCATTCCTGCAGCCATTGAGAAATACTGTGTGAGCTGTGATTGGTCACAGCTTATCACATGGTAGAAGGCTGTTGTGAATAGCCTGGTACCATCTGACCTCTGTGATCATTCACAGATTTCACACGTAGTAAGCAATGATGTCAGAAGTGACATCTTGCTTACTACTCTGCATGTGATCACTGATTGGCCAATCAGTGTGCATGTGATCACTGATTGGCCAATCAGTGATCACATGATCGGGACCTCGCACATAGGTCCTGTCCGATGATCGGTGTTCCACTGTGTCCGGAGGACTAATCACCCAACACCATAAAAGTAAAATACAATACAACTTACTCTTGCTCACTTGCAGAATCGGGTTGGTCGCTGTCTTTCACACAAGCTCGATTAAGATGAATGGTTGAAATTTGAGAGGCCACGACAGTTATATTCTCTCTCGCTGTGATGTTTCCCCAGTAAAAGGAGGTTGGGGTTCACTTGGTATACTAGAAGTCTCAGTAGTTTGATATGAGGTACCAAGATTATTAGAGTCCCTTTCGGCAACATTCAAATTGTTGCTGATTAGTTTGGTGCAGACGTTGGCACTGCAAAGACCAGCACTGTCCTCATTAAGGCAATGACCATTAGATATCAGGCTGCAAGGAGCGGTGTTATATTTGGAAGGCCTGGATAGAAGGCAGGTGGAGATTTTTCATCACAGCTAGTAAATGTCTCTTCCTTTTGGTAGACTGCTTTGGGTGAAATGTCAAAATGTCTTCCAGTTAATCGTCTTACAGCCTCTGTGAGTTGGACCCCTTTGTAAGGAACATTGGTAAAGTTGTTATGTATTGGACACATAGCTTCCTCCGTTTTGGCTGCCCCTAGAATACTGGAAGAAACATTCCCTGTACTAATACTATTGTGGGTTAATGTTGGAACCCCGCTACTGGGCAAGACGGAGTCTACTCTCTCACCATTATGCCAGGAAGCTGACTTTGCTCCAACATGTGGAGAAGTGTTGTTCTTTCTATTGTCCCCCTGTGGAGGCAAAGGCACTTTAGCACTGGTAGGACGTAGGAAAGAGTTCATAAGTAGGGCTGGCCTGGAAGCATCTGAAGAAAGTTTTGGCGATACACTTGAAGGTCTTCGGATACCAACTTCAGTGAGCTCCCCTGCTGCACTAGGCAGAGGAAAAACTGATCTATCAATGAGGAGGTCATGGCACCAGCAGTTCGGAGAGATTTAGGAAAAGGCCTGACTGGAGGACAGTGGTGAGAGAAGGAGTATGACCTCTGATCGTCTGCTTTTGTTCTTAAAGATGGAGATTCAGTTCTACTGTAAGGTCTCTGGTGAATCAACGGTCTATGGAAGACCAAAGTTCTTTCAAGAGTTTCAAAGTATTTTGGCAGGGTCCGTGGAGGAGTTGGTGTTATAGACACTGCCTTCTTACTTGGCTCAGTAAAAACAATAAGCATGGGAAACCATACAGTGAACATGTTGACCACTGTAGCCAAAATGAGCATTCTTTTCTGCATCATTCACCTGAGCCCCAACAGATGCCATTAAATGGCCATATCATTAGATCTTAGTCCACCATTTAATACATCTTCCTCAATGGCACATGGCTAAATATCCAGACCAGCGGACACTTGGGCTCCCTAAAAGAGATGAAAAAAAAAGAAAAAAAAAGAAAAAATGAAGGTAAAACCATGACTACAGGTTATTCTAGTGCAGGGAGTGGGCAAACTCTTTTGACTTGAGCGGCCAGCAATGGGTTCATATATTGGACCCGGGGGCCGGACCGAAGAGTAGATGGAATGATGTGTATGTGTCCCATCCATCAGTAAGTATAGTAATATTCCCCCATAGTTTAGCCATATAGTAATGAATACTCCCACTATAGTAATTACATCCCCATAGTAAGTATCAGTAATAGTCCCCCCAATAGTAAAGCATATAGTAATTAATCCCTGCATATAGTAATTCATCCCCCATTAGTAATTCATCCCCCCAATATAGTAATTAATCCCCCATTTACTAATTCAATCCCCCATAGTAATTCATCCCCCATATAGTAATTCACTCCCCCATATAGTTAATTCGATCCCCCATAGTAATTCATCCCCCATATAGTAATTCATCCCCCAGAGATAGTAAATTCATCCCCCATATAGTAATTCATATCCACCCATTGTAATTCATCCCCCATAGTAAATTTATTTGCACTTACCTTTGGCTTCGCGCGCCGTTCCTCTCGCCGTGTTCCTCGCGCCGTTCCGGTACTTCAGGGCGGGGACTGGTGAGAGGAGCCTAGCTCCCCTCACCTTCGTCATGCTGCCGCCGCCTACACACATCCTGACAGCTCCACGGGGCCGGATTAAAAGGTCCGCCGGGCCGTATATGGCCCACGCGGGCCGTAGTTTGCCCATTGCTGTATGCTGTAGTGTAATGCAAATCCTAACTTTGTATATTTTTCAGACCAAAAGAAAGTAAAATAAGTAATAAAAAAAAAAAACATTTGTCTGATGTGTGTAAAATGGATTTGAACGGCTGCATGCATTTGTGATATCATTTGGGGTTTGTAAGTACCACTGTGTAATGTTCATTTGTACCTATTGATATTGGCTTTTAGCAGTATTGATTGTTTGTGATATTAGGGTTGATTTACTAAAACTGGAGCGTGCAAAATTTGGTGCAGCTCTGCATAGATACTCAGCTTACGGGTTTTATTGTCAGTGTCGCTTTTAAAAAGGACAACTCCACTCTTTTGGTGAGGAAAGAGGTGAAGGAGAAAAATTATACCTGTTTGCAAAAATGTTATAACAAAGGAAAATTTTTTCTCAAATTTTTTTTGTTTATTACGCAAAAGAAACTCTCTATTTGTGTGAAAAAAATGATAAAAAAATGTCATTTGGGGTACAATGCTGCATGACCGCGCAATTGTCATTCAAAGTGCGACAGCAGTGAAAGCTGGAAGAAATTGGCCTGGGCACACGAGGGGGTATAAGTGCCCGGTAGGCACGGGTTAAATCGAGCCTTTTCACTAGTGATTTATATCAACTTGATTTAAATCAAATCCACCCTGCTTGTATCTTAGGTGCAGACTCTGGGAAAATCTATAGTGAGCCTAATCACATAATCAGGAAATGTGATTTTATGCTGCACTTTACTGTTTCACATTCATTAACCACCTCCCACCCGGCGTTGTATATAAATCGGCAGTCCGGACGGGTAGGGTGGCAGTGCAGGGTCGGGTGGCCGTTTATAAACAACCTCCCCGCACCGCATGAATTGTGCGCGCTCTCTGTGAGCGCGCAGCATTGCAATCCAGTGCCCAGCTGTGTCTTCCAGACACAGTGAAACACCGATAGTCGGTTTGGTATATAAGCTAATTTGGGTTATTTATTTTTTTACTGAAAAGATAACGGGAATAAATTTTTGGCCAGGATTTATGATGAAATATTATTTATTTGCTAAAAATTTTTATAAGAAAAACACTTTTTTTCAAAATTTTTTGACTTTTCATATTTGTTATAGCAAAAAAAAAAAGAAAAAATTCAAGTGGTGAATAAATACCACCAAAATAAAGCTTTATCTGTCTCTAAAAAAAAATGGTAAAAAATTTCATATGGGTACAGTGTTGCATGACCGCCGCGCAATTGTCATTCAAAGTGTGATAGCGCTGAAAGTACTGAAAATTGCCCTGGACAGGAAGGGGTGTGTGAAGGGTGTCCGGGGACTGGAAGTGGTTACATGATTTAGTGTGTCATTTCAGCCCTCTGCTCCCTTTTTCCTGAACTCACAGACAAGCTGTATAAATTCTCAGCACTTTGAATGGATGTAGAAAAGACTGTAGAGATAAACAGGTACAACTTATGTAGGATTTGTTTAATCTCTATGTATATCTGAGGCCAGTCACTTTCTCTGATTAGTATATGTAAGGGTTTACAATAACTGTGATTTCATTAAAATAAATTATAGGACATGTGCGCACTGTAGACAGTGTGACGCCGACCAGGGCTTGATAATCTGCGCCGGTACTGATACGCGGCTGATGAAAGAGCTGTAAACACAGAGTCATCGGCCAATTAGCCCAGCAAACCGGTAGAGCTCACATTAAGCATGGCTCAGCGCAGTATTAATTAAGCCTTTCCATCCGCTGTTCTCTTAAGATTATTAATGAGGATGAGTTTCCCAAAGCCAGCTTAAATGCCTGAGAGGGTGCTAGCTCAATAAGAAGGATTTCAACGCACGGATTAGCTTTTAAAAACCCTCATAGTGACGGGAGTCACTTTGGGAGGTGGGGGGCCCATGGAACCCAGCTCACTTTAGAGAGGTGGGGAGATCCCTGTCTGAGCTCCCCGATATCCCTCTTATGTGCAAGTCACCCTGTGTCCTGTTAGGGGGTACAGGGCGACGATCTGTCCTAATTTTTGTGATAGACATGTCCTAGGAGATAGGTGGGGTGGGGGGTTGTGGATTGTTTGGTGTTTGTGTGGCTGCATCCCATTGTTCTATTTGTTTGTCTTTCTTGGGAGCAAACTATGTTGTGGGACTTATTGTGTATTAGCTTAGTGAAGGGGGGAGGGGGTAGTTGTCTCCAGCAGTCCTCCCTCTGATGGGGACTGTTGCTGGTCTGTGAAGTTTGAGTACCTGTGTGTCTCGTTACTAAATGTAGATTGTCCCCGTACTGTGTCATTTTGCAGGGAGGGGGGGATTTGTCCCGAGTGTATATATCTTGTATCTGTGTTCAAATAAACTCTAGTCTTGTCTGGTCAGCTGTGGTGTCTGTTGTCGGGTGTTTGGATGGGGAAGCGGTATCCTAACGGAAGTACCCAAGCACAGACTGGGTCGGTTCCGTTACACTCCATGTTTTAATGGTTTTGTTCATTTTGTGCACCTATGTATAAATTATATACCTAAATATATATACCTATGTTTTTGAATTTGAAAAATCATATTTTATTTTTCCAATTAAGAAGGGTTCGGTGAATGCACATATGAAACTGGTGGGGTTCAGTACCTCCAACAAGGTTAAGAACCACTGCTCTAGAACATAAAAGCAAACATTTAAATCTGTGACAAGAGACAAGGTGAAGCTACTTTATAAAATGACTAAACTAACCCCGACTCCCGTGTGAATATAAATTCAGAAATCAACAAAAACTAGGCCATAAAACGTGGCTATCCATATGCTGTATGTCAGGACAGGTCTATATAAAAAAATTTAAAAAATAAAATAAAAATTCTTCCAACAAAACATGTAGAAAGTACCAAGATGGTAGGGGACAGGTAAAGACAGTAAGATTCACACCGATTCCAAACAGTTTAATTTTTTTAAAACATTTTTTTTGTTTGCTTTTTATACTTTCATCAGAGTAGTTCGGTGTCACCATAGTAATACTGTACTACTCTGGGAGGGGTTGATCAGGAATTTTTTTTTTCTCTCTCAAAACTTTGCTGATATATCACTGTGTGAATTGACGGCGCTATACAAGCACCTGTAATAATTATAATTTTACCAACAATGTTTTGAACCGTCATGAATGAGTTTCATTAATGACAGCTGTAATTACTACTGATCTGTGATTGGCTAGATCTAATCACATGGTACTGGGTACTGTGACTGGCCCAGGTACCATGTGATAGCTGAGGGCAATCACAGCTCACTAGTATATAGTAAACAATAAGCAGTTATTATACAGTATTTATGAAGCGCCAATAGTTCGCTCAGCGCTGTACATTACAAAGGGGGACAGAACATGTGACAGAACAATACCAATACAATGCAGAAACATGAGGGGATCGAGGGCCCTGCTCTTTCGAGCTTACAATCTAGGAGATATGAATGAGATTCATCCATAACAGCTTTGTTGATATTGTGATCATGTAATCACATAGTGAACAAAGTGGCCCAATGCTGTAAGCAGCAAACCACTGTGGTCATAGGGGGTGGTGAGTGCAGGGGGGCAGGGGTCTCTGCCTCCCAAGTTCGAGCGGGCACAATGACGTACATGTATGTGATCAAACAGAGCTGAAGCTGTCAATCACAGTGTGTGCTGGAGCTCCCCCGTCACCTTTTTAGCTCTTGGTGTCAGGAAAACTTGTCAGTAGTGACTCATGCTCATAGCAGAGGAAGGAGGTAGCAGACAGAAATGACACTTAGTGCTCTGGATTGAGAAATGTACACACACTATAGAGCAGGGTTTCTCAACAAGGGTTCCATGGAACACTAAGGTTCCTCCAGAGGTTGCTAGGAGTTCCTTGAGCAATTCCTGCCTCTCAGATAAGTTTCCACTGACACCATTGATCTTTTTAGCTGTAATGGGGTAATTTTTTCCCACTGACCACAAGTGTAAGGACCATTCTTCCCACTGACCATCATACTGTAGATATAAACAAGGTCCCAGTGGCACTTGCATACGTTTTCTCTGGAGTCTGACCATCACACCAGGGCCTACTACATGGGAGGGCTAGCGTGATCATGTATTTCCCTACAGATGGTAACCTATGGACATGTAAATCTTATACATTGCAGCTGGCAGCCAACATTTTTCAATCTCAGCAGGCTGGCCATTACCATATAGGTGGTCCACAAATCTTTGGCTCCAGGCTTTGGTATTCAGTTCCCTGCACTGCTGGGAAATATAAAGTTGTAACTGTTGAACAC